AACTCAGCTATTTGGAGTGAATTCATTACATTTTAGTTAAATTTGTAGCACGAAATTCATGGTAATTTTTAGACTTGAATCACTAGCCATTACGTAAATCGCTCTTACGCGTCAAACGAGTAGTCAATGTAAGATTTATCTATACTAAGGTTTTGCCCATTTAGCCTGCTTCATTGTGGATAAGTAATACTTTCCTGTTTGTAAGCCTTATCTGGATGATTAAAGAGTTCTCATAAAACCTAGAATATCTTCATTGAAAAGTCTTTGAATGCGTTGTTTTTTGAAAACATGGGTTAGACAGCAGAAATAAAAAGGCTTGACTGTCAAAGAACAGCTTAATTGCGCTAGAACCATGGTGAGTTCTGCACAAGGATTCCCAGGTAACATGTGAAAACGGTCTTATGAATCGGTTTGAGGTGCTGCTCATCTCTTAACATGCTATAAAACTTATCCATACCTGATAGCTTCGTTACAATTGGATCACTCATGTCACTTTCGATCGTGATTCCAATAATCGTCATGGCTAGCACTTTGAATCTGTATTTTGTATTCGGACATAGATTGTTAATCAATTGCGACTCTGATTCACTGATGGATGTTATTAATGATTTCCATTCTTGTTCCTCCTCCTTTTTGTAGGCAATTTTATACTCTTGAACATCGCCGCTACCATACTCAGGTTTTTTCCATGTCAGCAGAAGATAATCATGATTAATTTCTGTCGCGAAAGGTTTGCCAGGTTTATTAGGAATTTCAACATCCTTTTTGATACCATTTTGATAAAAATTTAGTAAGATGCCTTCAAGTTTCCTGTCTTTATCAATGTACTGGTCGTCAATGACGAATTTAATTTTTCGATTAGCTGTGTTGGCTTGAACCGATTGTAAAAAACATTTTACTTTTTCTCGACTCGATCCGATGATTTCTTCTTTGTCAATCCACGAATTTTGTGTGATTTCTTCGCGTCTGTTAACGGTTTCGTTATCAAGATAACGCCGTAAATGCTGTAGAAACGAATCATTCCTTTGTGTTAAATGAAGAGATATACAAAATATAAAATCGCTTTCAATGTTGCTGAGAGCGTTGTCTAGGGAACCTGGTGATGAATCGACTGTTTTCTCTTTTCTGATAGGTCGAATAAGATTTTCCTCCATAGTGATTTCTCTGCTTTTTGTATCAATCCAACGGAAAAGTACTTGCTTGTTGAATGGTGATGAATGTGCTTCTTTAAGAAAATCCTCCAATTGAACTTCATCAACACCGTTGCCCCGAATCTTCGGTAACAGCTCCATCACTTTCTTTTTTATGTCAGTTTCGAATTCTTCGATATACTTAACAAACACTTCAAGATGCTTTTTGTTTCGATGAACAGTAGAAAAACCATCGTTGATTAAATCGCTGGCTTGTATTTTGAGCTCATGAAAGTCGTTAATGAGAGACACAGACTTGTTAATTAAATTGTCACTTATTTCACGGATGATTTTCATCTCTGGCTTGTTTAACAAGCGAAGTGGATACAAGTAAATTGTTTTTGCTACGGCTTTTTCTCCATTCTGTCCAATGAGGCTGGGTAAGTCTTTGTACACACGAAGTGCTTGTTCGAATGTGCTTGGATTTTCTTTCAGATTGAAATCGCCATAAAATGTACACGTTAATGATTCGGCAGTTGTCTTCTCGTCATCATTCATATTTAGTTCTGCGCTAGCGAACATGTCAATTTTTGGAAATTTACTCACCAATACTTCCACTTTTCCATGGACTAAAGTACTATCTTCATTTTGGGATGATTCTCGATTAAATACAAAAAATGCATCAGCACCATAAACTATCCCTATGACAACATGTGTGGCAACATCTTGATCAAGTACGTCAGTATGAATCATTTTCTTTTTATCCAGATGACTCATTGAAAGTTGTTCAAAACGCAGAGTTGTTGAATATTTCAATGTGACTCGTTCTAGACGTTTTGTCATTTTACGGTCATTCACATACTTTGCAGAGCCCGAAACATCAACGAGACCGCTAAGAATACTTAGCTTCATGCTGCCTTCAGCACCCAACAGATTTACCTTATCATTTAGTGAGTTTTCTGCTTTAATGATATAATTTGTATACGGTTGTGGAGTAGTAGTGCAATTGTTTTTTAGAACATCAGGATCCCATAATGTAACAGCCGGAATCAATTTATCACGTCTATAATCGTATAACATTCCCAATCTAAACGGTCTGCCAAGTGCCATCATTTCAATGGTATCGTTTCCTACGGCCATATTGATGAAAATGAGTTCCTAAATCGAACAACAATCAAACTCCGTTTAATTCTATTATGTAGCTCTCTTCTTGCGACAGTGTCACAGAATGAGAAACAATAAGATCACTTTTCTGCTCCAAAGAATTTTAAAAAATAAATTACATCCGAGCTGAGAGTCACTTATGGGCTATAATATGAACAAAGTTGTTTGTATTGTAAGCCTGTCAAGTTTCTGATGAGAAACTATGGAACCGAATTTTATGTCTCATTTAGAATCATTGAACTCTTATCTTCAAAATTACCTATTTTGGTCTTTTAGATTGCGTTTTATTATTGAGAAAATTTCATTGTTCTACATGTCAGTGAGAAAATCGTAGAAAACTCTACAAATTGCGTCTATATTCGGAAGCTTCTATTATCAAAGCTTATTCTAATAACGAAAAGAATGGCATATTCGGAATCAGCGCGAAAAACCACGTCCAATAAGATATATTTTGGAAAATTTCTTTTTCCATCAAAAATTGACTCTCGGGGGACCACATGTGAGATTTTCATGGAAAAAAATTTTTTCCAAAATATATCTTATTCGACGTGGTTTTTCGCGCTGATTCCGAATATGCCATTCTTTTCGTTATTAGAATAAGCTTTGATAATAGAGACTTCCGAATATAGACGCAATTTGTAGAGTTTTCTACGGCTTTCTCACTAACATATAGAACAATGAAATTTTCTCAATAATAAAATGCAATCTAAAAGACCAAAATAAGTAATTTTGAAGATAAGAGTTCAATGATTCTAAATGAGACATACAATTCGGTTCCATAGTTTCTCATCAGAAACTTGACAGGCTTGCAATAAGGTCTAAAAATATCTATTTTGAAATATGCTCTAGTTATTCGTGTTTGATGGCATATTTTTACCTTGATTAAATTTACATTCAGCGAAACAACATTTTTATACTCAGTTTTTCATGCTGATTACGAATCTGAAGTCATAGTTTTAATTCGGATGAACATTAAATATGTATTATACTGATTATAGGTCAGAATAGATGGAGATGTGCAACACCCATCTATATTTGTGGTATGGACTAACTTTCGCTACCAGAATTTTAATTATTTGAGTTATACCTTAAACGATGCAAAATTCCAAGGGCTTTCAGAAAATATATAAATAAATTTGGGACAGCATGATCCAGCGTGGCTACAGTCAAAATACTAGCAAACCTTCACTTCAGTCAATGGTCGTTTTTGCTCGTATATTGGGACTGTCACTTGGTGAATGGTATTATAGAACATGCTGAGTTACCAAATTTTGTAGAGAAAACATTTCTGCATCTTTTGAGACGTTCCCGAACTCGAATAAATGTTTGGGAGCAGAAAAAAAATGCAAAATACTAAGAACACTAAAAAAACCCGATTTTTTTACTAAGCGCCGAAGGGTGTGTCACTTGTATACTTTGGCATTTTTTATAGACCAGTTAGAAAGAGCTAATATTTTGTATTTAGAGGTTTCGAATGATGGTCTATCATTTGAGATATCTAAATCGAAAATCAAGATTTTAACGGCGGCCGACTTGGTAGGTGGTCTCGTGGACCTTTTCTTAAATATTTAGAGACCTTAAACTAGGAAGTCTAATAGAAAATCTTCGCATTTTAGCTCACCGTATTTTTCTGTTGACAATAGTATCCCTTTACAAATTGAGATACCATTTAGTTTTGTTAAATAATTACTTCAAATCAGAATATTCAAACTTATCAACTTTAAAGAAATCATATCATTATTGGAAAAAGTCAGCCAAAGCACAGTGTCGGTGTTGCTTAAGGTCCCCCCCCCCCCGCTCAGAATCGATCTACCACTTAGGGTCATCCGTTTGGGCTGAAATTTTCAAGAATGAGTGGCCTTAGTGAGATACGCTTCTGGTAAAAATTTCAGCTCTATAGGTCAAAGTATATCGGATTTCCAGGTCATTCATAGCCCATTTTTGGGCTTCAGAAGAAACGGGATAACTTCGTTGCTACAAGAGGTAAATAATTCTGGGTGGTTTCAAATGAAAGCTAATGTCAGTGCGTAGTTTTTTTCTGAACAAAACTTTTAAATTCCCCTATTATTCATTTTCTATGAGTATTTTAGTAAATATGTCTTAAAATCACCTTGAAAAACGGTAATCCAACGACAGTAAATCCCACTTTTCTCAACACAGGAATCACATATAAAAAATCCGTTCAGATAAAATTTTACTCTCATCGAGGCCTTCAAAACGAAAAAAAATATTGGGTACTATCTTGGGCTAGATGAGAGTTATTTCAATTTTCCTGGCTGGAAACCGTGTTTTGAGAAAAATGCTAAAGAAGATTTAGAAATGGATTTTTTCGTTCAAATCCAGAACAAATCATATTACAATGGTATATTTTGAATATAGTCCAGTGGACCGTTTTAATGGACGTAATAGATGAAGGTAGCTAACGACATCTGACATGCTGGTTAATATAAAAATGTTCTATTCAATGATAATGCAAGTAGCAAGGCAGTTTTTCCAAAACTGAAAAACTTCAAAAAAACCACGAAAATATGGTAGTGGAGTCAAAGTTTCATGTGATAAGTCTTTGAAAATCTGGTCATTGCCCAAAAAGCCATATATATTCTGAAAGGGGAAGCTTCGCTGCATCTTCCTGTGATAAAAACTCTACTTCGTAATTGTTTGGAAAAATTGGATTTTTTAAGGGGGGGGGGGGGGGGGGGGGGGGGGTCAAAGGTTAATGATATTCAAGTTTGTTGTTTTCTTTTTTTTATTATTATTCTTTACTTTCCCGTTAAATAATCCATTTTGAAATAATGACGCTGACATAGCGACAGTACCAAGATATCCATTAGCAATTTCAGGTAAAAAACAAAAATGTGGTTCTGGATTAGCATATAATATTCGTCCATTATTTATATCATTTAACCAATCATCTGGAGGTAAAAAACCTTTACGGATATATAAATCAACATTTTCTGTTACATCATAACAGCAACCAACATCACAACCAGATGTACATGATTTTAATAAACCATTTGTATTAAATCCATGACAATATGGATTTGAATTACAATGTGCCGCTAATATTTCTATATCACATTGTATTTCATAACCTAAATAAATAATAGATAAACGATTAAAAACCAAATTCATATCATTAGAATATACCTTCACCGCATTCAAAATAAGCAATATCATGACCAACGACATCAGTTTTTGGCATTTGTAGATAATGATTTAATGAAGCAAAACATATTTTATTAGTCAATAAGATCAATAGAAATAATTTTTCCATTATAATTTTCAATAATTAATACATTCACGAGCAAGAAAATCTTTTTTATCTTTTTAAACTAAAGAATAAAATATTAATAGGTTTCTTAAACAGAACCAATGCTGAGAAATGTTACAAGGTGTCACTTGTATCCAACTACACTCTAAAAGAAAATTGATATTAAGAGGAAGAAAATATAAAATATAAATTTTAGTTTCAATAATAGATCTAACAGAATCTCGCATGATAAGATAGGAAATTCGTCGCAACCTAGGAGTTACTTTAAATAATTTCTAGGTTAAAAGTTCACAGTGTTCTGCATTTTGTGACATGGTAAATTTGAATATAATCAATGATAGGAAGTCGATATAGTTCATCAACTTGTGCATCCGGAGTAAATGCATATTTAAGCATTAGAACGAATTCACTGCTTTCTTTCTGTAAATATTTTTGATATTCAATACTGATTCGAGGCGTCTTTATTTACTCTAAAAAACATAGACAGATGTTTTGAGAAATTTTCTTTCTGTACTAAGAAATATATGACTCAGAATATGGTAGAGACGACATTGGTTCCACCGACTCTTAATAAGACGACCGCTGTTTCTTTGTAACAAAAACTAATACATTTATGAAACTTTCTCACCAATTGCGCCATTATTTCATCTACAACATCTATTAATTCAAAAGTGTAGAAAATTATTCAAATATGAAAATTTTTGCATTTATTCGGTAAAACATCTTCTATTTTTAATTAATCCCAGACTCTTGTTCAAGTATTTACACAAAAACCAATGCTTGAAATGAAATTTCGATATAAAAATTGAGTTCAGCATGAAAAACCAAATCCGATAATATGTATTTCGATGATAAATATTTTCCAATATGAAACTCTCTGAATTTCCCCTAGTTGCTCTTTTCAAAATTTGTTTTTCATCCCTCCCCTCCGGGTGTTCTCTCGTAGGAAAATATTTTTCATCAAAATATATACCATTGGATTCAGTTTTTGTTGATGAACTCTATTTTCATGTCCAAGTATCTTACCAAGCATTGGATCTCCGTATTTGGATAATTTTCGAAAATTTTTGAATAAATAGATCTTTCCAATGAAATAACGGCGTAATTTTTGAGAAAGTTTAATGAATATATTATTTTTGTTTGCAGAAGAAAAAGCGATTTCACCATTTAAGAACTAGTGTCACTCATGTTGTTTCTACCACATTTCGACCCATAGATTTATTAATAGAAAACGAGAATTTATCAAACATTTTTATACGTTTTGCAGAACAAAAAAAATTGGCGCATCAAGTTACAATATTATTCAATAGGAAAAATTATTTATGAATAGAAAAAATTCACCAATCTCAATGTTTAAATATGCATTTATCCTGGATATATAAGCCGATGAATCGTATCGAATTTCTATTATTAACTATATTTAAATCTATCATGTCAGTAGGTGTTTGAATGATATGTCCCTTCATACTGCCTCTGTTTTAAAAAGTTTCCAGGGCATGACAGATTTCTCATCAGGTCGAGCATAATCATTTTTGACCTTTATCATGTAAGGACATCATCATAGGAAATAATAAACATTACTGGAAACTTTAGTATAGATAGAAAATATACAAAAACCATATGACAAATAATCATGGACAAAAACTAATCATTTACAGACCATAACGAAAATTAGTATACATTAATCACAACATATAATCAATAACTGTAAACCAAAAATATCCGATAACAAAACAACAATCATAATATTAAATGCTTGAGCATATGTAAGAAAGTTAATAGCAAGAAAACAGACAAAATAAATTTTAGTTTTATAATGATTCTGTAATATTTAACCTTTATTATATATTTAACCTTTTACCACCTGCTGGTTTTTTTTACCCATTATATATCTTCACAGTGAAATGGCTTCATTTGAATTAAACTATACTAATAGTGAGATATTGAGCACTTATATGATCTATTCTTGCAGTCAACACGACATTAACTCTGTTGGATTAACATCAGGGGGTAAAGTGTTAATTATTTTAATGCAATACAAAGACTTGACATAAAAATAATATCAACATAATTATATATATTTACACTTTCGTTAATTAATGTTATAACTATTCTATGTTACAGGAATATTTTCATTCTAGTCAGTATATGATTATTTTTTTAGTTATATTATAGATGTTTTCATCATTTTTTATCATCTCGTTGTTATATATTTTCTATCTATACTTAAGTTCTTTTATATAAAGTTTATCATTCCTGGTGATGATGATCTTACATGATAAAAATCCCATATTTCGAATTTATTATAAAGCTAAAATTTATGTTGCATGTTTTCCTTTCTCTTGTTATGAAGCTATTTTTTTTACATATAACCAAGCATCCCCTTTCAGTTAATGTAAAAAATATTAATTTGACTGATATGTTTTAGAATCATGTAGAAAAAATATAATGTTAAATGATTTTATTAAGAAAACATTGATTGTTTTGTTTTTTCTATGATAAATAATTACAGCTCCGGAATAGAGAATCCGTTTCTCATTTAATTCCCATTAATATTATCAAATGATTGCATTAAAAGAAAATTCTATATTCATGTTTCTTTTGATTTCTTGATTAAAATTCACAAGATTTCTCCTATCTAAAAAGAAAACTAATTATTTATTATACTCAAGCACATGTTTTTTGAAAAAGTTCCTTTTTTTTTAAAGACCATTCTATTTCTCATTTCCGACATATTTTCTTGTTATTTTTAAATGAACGTACTTTTCAGTCGTTTCTTTTTAACAACTAAATGAACCAGTAATTTTTTCATTTTAAGAAACAATAGTTTTTTTGTATGCGTGACTTTGAAATCTGTAGAAAAAAATAATATCGCACATTCTTTGTGTAAATTATTGACATTTTACTTTAAGTATTCATTCAAGCATCCATCAAGCACTTACAATATTTAGCTCTATTCATGTGCATTTTTGCTGTAAGATTTTCTTTTTTTAACAATATCAACAATTTGAAGAATATATTCATTATTAAATGAAAAAAAAAACGAGGAAGAAGAATTTTTTTTTGTGCTTCAATTAATTATTTATATTTTCTTTGTACACAAAGAAAGTGCCATGGTCGTAAAAGACAAATAATATTTTCGGGTAGAATAAAATAAAAAAAGAAAAAGAAAGAACATTGTTCTATATAGAATAATATAGAGAAGATTGGTAGGAGAGAGAGAGAGAGAGAGAGAGAGAGCAATGCCTTCTTTCTATATTTATATTTGATCTAAACAACAGTAAAGTTGTGTCTAACATTTTGATTTGTGTATCGTCACAATTGAACCTATGAAATATAACAGGCAAGTATATTAAGTATAAAAATGTTTTTCTTTTGTTTTTTTTACTTTGTCATGGAGATAACTCAAGATAAGTCAAAAGAATACTAGCCTATTATTCGTTCAATTTACTTTATCATGACAGCTTGGTCAAATAGATGCTTCTCTTATACGATAGTAAACATATTCAACGAAGTTGATAAATTAATTTGATTTTAATAATATATGAGTTCAAACAGTAATTGTTTTTCTTTATAATGAAATCACGCATAGATAACAAAGGATAGATTTACTTAGATTTTAATCACGATTTAAACGAAGAAAGAAAAGAAAAACAAATGCATCGAATTCATTAAGTGGCTACGATTTTCTACGTGACAGGAAATGGACTACACATTTTTTTTGTCTCTTCCCCCTTTTCTATTACCGTATAAATCCAAAAAAATAATCAATTCTTTCTAAGGTTGTATATATATAGTTTTTTTAGTAGTAGAACAGAATATTTATATGCCATGTCATTAAAATCTTTTTCATACTTGAATTATGGTAAGAAAATAGTTTTCTTTTGATGATGTGTTCACCAACTTTCTCGTGCACTTGGGAATATTTTTGAAAATATAATTCATCATTAAGAAATCTCTTAACAAAAGTCCTTTCTTTCTTTCGTTTATTTCATAAGAAGCATCAAACTAATTCCCATGAGAATCTTTTTGACAAAAAATGTACGATATGGTATCAATAATCGATAGGTTAGATGTCAGTTTCTCATATGAAAAATAATAAAAATAGAAGTAAAGGATCATTATTCTTGGTTTCAAGTTTGTTAGACAGACGAAAGATGTTAAAGAGAAAAAGAAAATCATAATTGATTAGTTTCGATAGTTTTACCAGTTTTATCTTTATGTCATGTAAAAAAAAATCATCTATTAATCTTGGCCACAAGAAAAAAAAACCAGCTAGAATTCGTCTATTTCTGTCGATATAGATAATGCAAAGATGTAAGCAAGGAAGAGAAAAGAGAATGTTATTTCCTAGTTTTTTTTTCTTATTTGCAATGCATATTACGTTCTTGCTCTATTGCTGAAGGATTTAAGAGTGAAGTGCCACAATCAAAAAAGAAAACAGCAGAAGACTGTAGAGAAATGATAAAAAAAGAATTATTTTTTACATTTTTTAATATTGTTTTCATTTTAGTTGTTCAATCAAATAAAGATTATGATTATTGATTGAATTGTATATGGATATTAACCGATATCTTTTAATTTTTATCGGATGGTTAGTTCGAACTAGTAAGTCGATTTAAATCAGACATAAATATATTATAACAATGTGCATTTGCCTTGTCTTTTGTTTCTTTAGGTTATCAAATTGAATGTCTTCAATGTACAAGCCCTATTCGACGTACTTCAACTAGTAGGGATCATCCATGTTTAGATGGTACTTTATCACCATTACCATGTGAAGAATCAAATAATGCATCAGTATCAACTTTTATACAATGTGTATCCGCTCTCTATAGAATAGGTCAACGAGGAAGTGCAGGTAAAAATTTTACAAAATTATTAATCTGCAATAAGTAACTAGGAAAATTTTTAGTAGCACATTACTGAATTGAGCAGTAGAATACATTTGATAGAATTAAAGTCTTCGCTTTCTTTGTTATGCATGTCAAGTATATTACTAGTAAAACATGTTTTATCAATTAGAGTAATATTTTTTTTATCAAAATGTTTTCTCTTAATTACTGTCCACTGATAAATAATTTATTTTGTAAAATTTTCAACTTTATTTTCGTATCTATATGCTGAATGTGAAGTATAAATAATTTTCACTATTCAATTAACTGGTACTTCTGATGAACTTGTAGATTCGAGGTATTGATTTTGTCAGTTATAAACACTTAGATCAATTATAGTTGAGATGCAGTAATTTTTTAGATTGTTTATTATCGATGTTTCGTCAAGTACTTCATTATGAATATATTGTGAGAAAATAGTATGAATGTGTCTTGTTAAAAAAGAAATCCATCGAATAAATCAGAATATTGATTATTTTGCATGGCATGAATCATATTGAAATGATTTATTGATTATATTAGAGTCATTCTTTATTCCAAAGAAAACTGTATATATTAGAGCTTACAATGATGTTATAAATGTTAGAGATAAAAGAAAATTATTTGAATGTAGTTTCATCCTATTAAATTAGCTTTATTTAATTATCTTTTCTTTATGTTCTTACTATAGGTGTGCTGATTTACCGTGGTTGTACAAAAGCTCTTTCTATTCAGCATGACTGTGATCCACCCGCATCATATATAGATATTGAGTCAGCATCAAATTTTTATTGCAGTCGGGCATGTTCCAGTGATGGTTGTAACAGACATTCAGTTTCAGAAATTTCATCAAATGCTAATGAGTTATTTAAAAATAAAGTTCTATTATTGAATTTTATTTGTATCGTATTTTTATTGTATTTTCAATGCAATTTGTTTTTCTCACGGAAATAAATGAAAAAATATACTAAAATTATTATTGATTAATTTTATTTGAAAAATAATTTTTAATCTATTAATATGATGTTGAACGGTAAACATTAACGTGTTTTTTTTTTGTTTTGTTTTTTGTCGTTGTAAAATGTAAAAACAAAAACTAATGAAACGTTTTATTATTCATTTAATTTTGTATTTATGATTACAGAAAGAAAACGTATTCTATAAAGAATATGATCAATCTCATATGTAACAAACTTTAACCATATTTTGATTGACTTTTTTAAAATATATACTTAAAAATTTCAATGAATTATCTTACTGAAAGAATAACAACATTTCTTGGTCACTTCCTACTTTTTAGTTAATTTATTCTAGTCTTAAAATTAGTTATGATTCACTCTTAAGCATAAACATATGTTTATTATTTATTAATAATGCGGTAGAGTTCCTATGTTAGACGTTTTCCTTCACATGTACATTTCAACAAGTCTGACAAATTTATAAAATAAAAATATTGACACAACAGTATATATATGCATTGAGCACATAAGACATGCGCTTCATTTATTCAATAAAAAGTCTTTATATTAGTTAAAATGAACTTGTACATTAAGCTATTTGACAGAAAGATACATCCTATGGTAAAAATAATAAACTCGAAAGTTTTATTTTTATTTATCATAATCTGAGAGGCATGATAGTACTATTTATTTTGCTAACAGTGATCCGCTTACTTTTTGAGTTGTAGTAGGTTAAATATTGTGAAAACAGTGTAAAGATGAGTCTTTCTATAGAAAATACCTGTGGAAAATCTTTCTCTTATCTTAAATGTTTTTGCTGGATAAATATTAGTGAAAAACAAATGAGAAAATAAAAAACAAAATTTTTAAATGAGTACTCACCCATCTCTCTCTATCTCTCCAATGTCATAAGTCTTTGTTGTTAATAAATTTGGTTATGATTATTTTATTAAAAATACAACATACTTGGCGAACGTCATATATTCTCTGGATGTAATTTGACATCTGTCAAAAATACTTGCTTTTTATTCCTAGTGCTTCTGAACCACAAGTATAATATGAATTTATATTTACTGTTTCTAATAATAGATATCTTCACATCTCCTGTTACACTATTGATGATATTTGAGTCGAAGATACATAAAAAATGCTGATTGATCTTTATACTTATTTTATTCTATTATAATTTCAGTCTACAAAAGATGCGCATAGAAGCTTACACACGAGATAAGAATGAAATAATTATTTATACTTCAAAAGATGATAAAAATTTAAAAGGTTAGGAGACCCAATATAATTTTTAATATTATGGCACGTGTTTTAGCACTGCAGTAGAATGACATATGATTATATGATTATAGCAAATAAAAATTTTCATGATTTTTACAAGGACAAATAAGTCTGGTGGTTGATTCAATGATCTTGCGTATATAAATAGCACAATAATCGAATTGAAGGACAATCTCTTATGATAGTTATGAACTCAAGAAGAATAAAGATGTTTGAATATAATGGATAATGGATTATTTCCGTTACAAATAGCCATTTTTATCTACTCGACACCTTTTATTCTTAAAATAAGCTCATTTTAATGAGATTTAAGTTTAAAAAAAAAAAAAACTAAATCTAATCATTACATTTTATAATTATCTAATAATATACTAATGTCCTGTGGGAATCAGGCCCAGGAGATCCCGTGAAGATTTCGAGAACGAGAACAAAAAATATCTTTTACGGGAATTGAGAAAAGTCGGTCCTGCAGGACATTATCATATACTTGTTCGTCTGCATATCAGCTTTATGTTTTAGGGAAAAAGGACTTTTGATCACCACAAAAAGATACTCTTGATCACCAAACAATTAAAAATACAAATCATGACTCGTACAGGATTGTTTTGATCACCACACATTTTTAGATACAAATGATCACCGAAAAAAGATACTTTTGATCACCAAATTTTTCAAATCGTTGTGATGTTACATCATTTCTAGCTTGTTTATCCAGTATCACTTGCATTTTATCAGCTTTTCTCTTTTCTCCGTATATTATATATGAACAGTAATTCGTATCACTGGGTCAGTGGCCGGTGCATATATTTATACAAAATACTTGAAGATATTAATTTGAAAAATGTCAACGTTAAACTGGTCTTTGTTAAGTATAGTTCATTCACTTGATGAGGTTAAAGTTGTTGCTAAATCAAATGGTGTATGTCAATATCGAATAAATAATCTTAAGAATTCCACAAAATATTCATTTAAATGTTGTCAATATCGCAAATATCCTTTATGCAATTATGAACTTAAGGCAACAGTACCAGATGATGATCCAAACTCGATTACAGTGATGTTCAGAAATACTCACAACCATGAATATCGTGCTGAAACAACTCGTTTACCATCTCCAGTACGACAATCTGTTTCTAAATATGTTCATATCTAGTGATCAAAAGTAACTTTTTTGGGTGATCATTTGTATATAAAAGTGTGTGGTGATCAAAACAATCTTTTACGGGTCATGATTTGTATTTTTAATTGTTTGGTGATCAAAACTATCTTTTTGTGGTGATCAAAAAAGTTGTGACCCTATGTTTTAATATGTAAGGTAGAATCATTTAAAGATGATCAATAATTATTTTTTGCATTCAACTGTTGAACTAATGGATACGATCGTCAATCTTTTTAACAATCTTTCAAATAACGGTTTTCTCAAGCGTAACACGATGACGTTTTGGCCACAGTATTATTAGCTTTTCTCAGCAATTAGATTATCTAGTAAGTTCTCTCTTTCATTATTAGATGTGTCTCTGCCTTCCCCACAATCTCTGAAAATTTGAACTCGTTTGAATGAGCCGTTTGAAAATAAAAGCAAAAATAGGTGACGTAACGCGATGACGATGATTTCTGTTGATAAGTTTTTTTCTATGCTATGTTTTCCTATATGTATAATTATGTAAAGACGAGATACTGTCTTTATCTCCATGTTTAAACTATACAGATGTTAAATATGTTTTCCTACACTTTATACCATACTCTACAAGATGCACATAAGGGATTTAAAAAATGATGACTTCAAATTTTCTGTCCTTGACGTTATGCGTTACGCGTTTTGGCCGATAAACTTACTATCAATTATATTCGCTTCAATTTTCTACCTGTTTGAACGTTCATGGTGGACAAATATGAACTCTTTTTTTTTTTTTTTTTTATCTCGTACGTACATTTCGCAATTCACATGATAAGCTGCCCTCTATTAATTCAAACTTTGCTTTATTTATGGAATACATCGAAAAAGAAAGACGACATTCTAATAAATCCCTCATTATTATGAAGTGATATGAGATAGTCTATTTGAATATACTTACTAAGACTTACTAAACATTATTTCTTAAGAAGCAACAAAGAAGAATACAATAAATTTTGATCTTATTGAATTATCTTTTATGCAAAGATATAGAAATATCTGCTTTTTTTTATATTCAATTTGTGAATCAAACTTTTGCATATGTACATAAAATACTATTCTTTGTAATATAATAAAAACTTAATAGACATTATATAAAACAAATAAACTAATGAAAATATTCAATAATCATAATGTTCGCCGAAGAAGTTCATTTAATGCGCTTGTAACTAAAATAGAAATTAAATAATTAATACTTTCAGATTCTACACCTAAATATCCTGTTACGATGAAACACGATCTGAAAGAAGTGTTAAAGTATATATGATAAAAATTTTCACTGCTCTCTCTCTCTCTCTCTCTATTCATAGACTATGAGAAGACGTTTTTTATATATAATTACAGACCGTATATTAATAACATCTTGTTCTAATATATGACTTACTTATTGCATTTCTGAAGGATTAAGTAAAACTCTGATGAAGGAATATTTCGCAAAGTTCGTAGGATACAAACATTTTCCGGTGATTAGTAACAGCAGCTATATCATGTTTCACATTTTAATTCTGCAGAAATTATGCTAACAGCTTTTTTTAATTTAATCTCGAAAAAAGAAGAGCTTAGAAAAATACTACTTCACGTATATTAAAAGAAAATATAACTTACATATTAATTCTTATTTATGTGTAATTCATCAGAATACGGAGTGGTTCACAAGTAGCTTTACGATAAAAAAAATTAAATATTTCCACTCTGCTGCATTCTATGGAATTTGTTTCGTTCTGTGATAGAGAAGATTTGATAGTATTTTTCACGAGAATTTTCTGACTTTATATGCCATAAAAAAAGTCTAAAATTTTGAAAGATATTTAAAAAAAACCCTATAAACACAAGCACCATGACGAATAGTTAATGTGCAAGCCAAAGTAACTGTCGGTTTCACTTCATTGTACTTAAGAGCCGGCAGATGTCCATGTTGATGGAGAGAGAGAAAAAACAATCACGTATCACAGAATGAAATACACGATTGAATATTGAAAACAGAATCCATTGTATCCGAGGAGCTCTAGTCGAAAGACAAATATATATATGGATGCGTCTGTTAGGGCCATCTCCAAAACTATAAAAGATAGAAACTCATAATTGAAATCCATGGATGATATTTCAAAGCAATATTTATAAATGTTGTTCTTATGGGAAAAAAAGAGTTAGTCTCTCTCATAGAATGAAAAACAAAGTGGTAATATTCAAAGTTTTTTTTTATTGTACAGCTACTTGTGAACCACCCTGCATATTTAACTTCTGTCATATGAGATTTTATTTATTATGAATAGATTTTTTCTTACTTTCAGCTGCTCGAAATCTTGGAATATTGAATTTATATTCGAGCCATTTACGAAACATTTCACTATCTTTTAACATCATATAATATCCAAGTAACTGTCTAGCATAAATAAATCCATGATCAGCTAATAACTGACCATATTTTTTGCCTATACCAGGTACTAAAAGAAGAAGAGAAAAAAACAACATCGATTGAAAGCATATAAAAAAATGTGCCTGCTGTGATAGGTTTTATCGATATTGCTTCATTAGAAAATTGACATCTTTTATTACTAATAGTCAAATTTTCGACACGTTCACTTGATAATGGCCATGCATTACTTATAATTTCATAGAATAATGGTAGTTTTTCATTAGATGCAACTTTTAAAGGTTTTGTTTGCTTTGGTACTTCCATAATAAGTTCATTTGATGTAGATATAATTTTGTCTTTAGTTATATGAGGGTTACTGTTTTTAACTGATGAAATGCGAACTTTTTTTTCATCGTTTCCACAACAATTTTGATTTAATGATATTATTGATTTTTCTGCAATTTTTGCGATCGAAATTGAAGGATATGATATTGAATCAATTATATTTCGTTTACGAACAAAGAAACGTCGTGATAAAGTGTTCGATAGAATATGAACAGTATCTTTTTCACTCATCGGATTTCGATCAAAACTTATTTTTTATTGTTAATACAATGACATTCGGTAGAAAAAAAAGCAGAAACTAGTTAAAAATTACTTTTACAAATTAAAACTATACGCGCTTTCATCGAAAAGTTATTTTCTATTGATTAGGATTTCGATGACTGAAACAAAGTTGTTGGCATAATTCCTGCGTTGGTCTATATGAGGAGCTTAAAAGATTGAGCGCACGAACTATGCATTAGGTGGACATTTTGTCCAGAACGGCAATTAGTATTCAGTGCATGGAAGATATCGGGCTATTGAATCTACCACTAAACAGTGTTCGATAGCGCGAGATCTTTTTATCCTGATACTTTAACACTTCTTTTAGATCATATTTCGCAAAAGAAATATTTTTAAAAAATTTTCATTATTAAGTTGATATTAACATTTGTTTTTCAAATTTCGATGCTATACTTTCATTATAATATTTGATAAGAAATCTTTAGACAAACAATCACCCCCCTTTTTCTTTCACCACTTTAATGATAAAATGTAATAAAGTTGTTTTACTGGTTTTACTTCTGATAAACTGCATTCTTCTCTTATCATTTCATTAGAAATAAAGAAACAGAAAAAAATACTACAGATTATATACACTCCCAGGTGTCTTTGTCTCCTTTTTATATATCTTCATTATTCTTTTTTGCTTTACACTAGAACAATGATAGGCGTGTGTCTGTTCTCCATTTTGGTTTGTTTTACACAACACATTCAGGCTAATAAAACTGTTACTGTAAGCACGAAATACGGTGATGTAGTAGGATATGAGACTGATTTAGCCCGTATATTCTATGGTATTCCATTTGCTGAACCACCTATTGATAATCTAAGGTGATTATATTTGATAGTATTTATTTTTGATTTATTCATATGTTTAATGTAGATGGCAATCTCCCGTACCTATAGATAAATGGTTTCCTAATGTAATAAATGCAACAAAACCACCACCTGCATGTCCACAACCACCATGTAAAGTTCCTCCTATTTTGTGTCCTGCTATAGTATGTTAGATTTTAAAAAACATGTAAATAATGCTATTTTTTATTTGATTAGCTCTCTGAGGATTGTCTTTATTTAAATGTTTTTACACCATTACCTACACAATCACTACGATCAACACCATTACCTGTTATGATCTTTATTACTGGTGGTAATTTTCAATTTCTTGATGCTTCAGCACCAATTTATGAGTCTGAACGTTTTGTTAATACAACAAATATTGTTCTTGTATTCATTCAATATCGACTCGGTAAGGAAAAAAAACAGCCGAAATAATAATATTACTATTTATTATTTAAATTAGGTATTCTTGGTTTTTTGGCAACTGGTACAGGTCCAAATGATATCAAAGGTAATTTTGGTATTCTTGATCAACGCTTAGCTATTGCATGGGTTAAAGCAAATATTGATGCATTTGGTGGAGATCCAAATGAAGTTAGAAAACTATTATTTTATTAAAGTATATTTCATTATGAATTTCTAAATAGATAACATTATTTGGTCAAAGTGCTGGTGGACAATCAACTGCTTTGCATTATGTTACAAGTGATATGCAATCATTTTTTCAACGAGCAATTATACAAAGTGCACCTTTAACAATTCCTTTTCGGTAATATATTAAAATAAAATTAGATGTATATATATATATATCGATTTTATATTATTTCTTTAAAGAACATATTTAGAATATGTAACACCAACTGTTCTTCTTGCAGAACAGCTTCATTGTGCTTTTGGTGATATTTCATGTTTCCGTCGTGCTTCATTCCAAGATATTGTTATTGCTCAAGAAATTATAAATAATATGTTAACGTCATTTAAAATTTTACTTTTCTTTGAACCATGGGTACCTGTTATTGATAATGTTATTGTACATGGTCAACTTCTTGATCTTGTTCATAATACTTCATTTCCACTTAAACAACTTATTATTGGCACATTAACTGAAGAAGCTCGATTTTTTATTTATGAAGGATGGACAAAACCATTATTACCAACACTCTATGGTGAACTTATTTTAGGTACATTTCGTGAAAATGCTCTTAAAGTTCTTGAACGTTTTCCACCTGATAGTATATCTGATGAACGACCATTATTATCTCTTATTTCTACTCAATGGGTATTTGCTTGTTCCAGTCGTGTTTTTGCACGTAAAGCTGCATCATATTCATATGTATTTGGTTATCCACTTGATTTTGATGGTTGGGGAAATGAAACATATTGTGATGGACATGTTTGTCATGGTGGTGAATTACCATTTTTATTCGAATCGACATGGGTAAATTTTACTGATGCTGGACGACGTATATCTCAAAGTATGGCAACTTATTGGACAAATTTTGCTAAAAGTCAAGATCCAAATGAACCTATACCTTTGTCAACTCCATGGCCAAGAGTAACTACTGGAAATGAGAAATATATGTATTTTCAAGATCCATTACAAGTTCAAGAAAACTATTTAAAAGATGATTGTGATTTTTGGGATAAGATTGGATATAAAAAAGTTCTTTTTTGAATTTAATTAATAAATAAATAAGTAAAACTTTTTTCATTTCGAAATTTCTCGAAATTAAGAAAACTGTTTTTTTTCTAATTCATCAAAAAATCCAGTCGCCATCGATCAATGTATTGGTTTACATCTCTAATCTTGAAATAGATATATTTTTCATTTTCAATAATTAATACACATATTGGTCTACTTAAATCGTAACTTTTAGCCATAGAAAACATGAGACAAATCTGTTTGATAACCCGAGTACGTCACCATAGTTTGCAACAACAACTGTAGGTTAATTAGTATATCTGTTTTGATTGAAGCAAGTAAGAGTAACAATAGAAAATAAACACATTGTCATTTTTGTGAAAGGTAAAAACCTTGAAATGAGATGATAGTGTGTTGCTGAAGAAGTCCTAGTATGCTTATTTAAGTGCATGTTGATAACAAAAGAAGATGTTTTCGCGCACATTGACTAGAAAGAGACTCTACTTTGGTGTTGACTATTCGGACATAATAAACTATTAGCTTGTTTCACATGATTTTTTTGTGCATCTGCCATATTAGGATTCTAACTTTGAATTAAATAAAATATTATGAATTATCTATAAGATATATATATATATAATTTGAATTTTGTTTATTTTGCAAAATATCATCAATATTTAATATTAAAATGAATATGCGCATGTATTTGTTATATAATGATTTTTTTTTCATGAAATGCTATGGAATTATGTCATCTGTAATTATCAGCGAATGAGTTTCAGCATTTTCATATAATGAATCTTTTTAATTGTATTTATCTTCAAATATATAGTTTGAAGAATGTGTATACAGAATAAGAATGGACTTTTCATCGAAGATTACTTCCAGTACAATTGAATATTTCTTAGTAATATATGCTTGAATAACTTTCACTGACAAGCATAATCAAACAAAAAATAAAATATTTTCTATATAGAACTTTATTTCATTGACTATCAGTATAGAAAATTAACAAGATCACAAAAATCTTTTCATGTTGGACGCTACGATAAAAACAAATTTATTGAATAACTTTCATTGGAAAAGATATTGAGTCAGGTTATGATAGAAAAACAGACAATTACAACTACTTCTAAACTAGTGTCATATAAGGAAGATAACTACTCAATCACTCTCGACTGGATTTGTATTCATGTGTACATAAATACTTATGTCTATCTTTGCAATAATTCGTTTTGTTTTATTTCGAAACTTTTTTATATCATGTTGACTTTTTTTTGTGTTACCTTACACCGTATTTGATACATGTATTCGTTCCATTTGCTTGTTTGCTAATGACAAATGAAGTACATAGTTATCTTACCTTGGTGGAACTTACATATATTCTCGATGAAAATAGCAAGCGCAAGTTTTAAGTCGAAGTTTTGGGGGTTTTCTTCTTCTCAATTGTTGATCATATTCACCGAGAATAACAGTCGTCAGATTTTTTTCTCTGAATTCATTAGCGACGAGAAAAGGTATGGAACAACATAAACGAAAGACTAGAATACATTTTTAAATGTTTTAAACAGTGCACTTTTTTACTTTTACGCAAACAAGAATTCATATTCAAGGTGTCAACGATGATAGAAAATAATCAATATCAGTATTTGTAAGCTTATCGAGATATATAATAGTGCGTCGAGACCTACTATGTATATAAAAGATATGTATTACGAGACTTATTTGTGAGTTAAATTAAGGGTTAGAATAATAAAAGTTGTTACAAAATAAGAACAATAACGAGCGTTAGTAGCAAGGAAACTAAAACCTACAGTGTGAGTAAAGAATAGAAAAAGTTTGTTCGAAATGCAAAAATAAATAGGACGGATCGCTCCATGAGTTTTGCATTAATATTAACAGGTTAAAAAACATATGACCTCCATATTTCAAAGACATTTAACCAGCTCTCTTTCAGTATTTCTCAACAAAATATTCCATATATCGAAGATGAATTTCTGTTTGATAATAGAAAAACAAATTTTTTTCGCGCATAGATATTATTGATTCTTCTCTTCTAAGTTTAAGAATGATTTCTAAATATCTTTATGTTTTGTTTTGTTATATTATCTATATTTTCTCTTTTCATAAAACTTCATCAGTAAAACTGAAATTTTTATTTACAACAGAAGGTAATGTTATCAAATGTTCTAAACATGAATATCTCATTTATGATGATTGGCATAATTTTTTTCGATGGAATATATCATGTCTAAATCAGAATATGTTATTTGAACCCAATCCTCCTCATTTAATCGAAGAAACTATGTTTCATGTTAATTGTTTTGACAACAATATGACATTGAATCCTTCTCTTAAATTGAATTATACGATGATGAAAAAGGGAAAGATAAAAAATCCATGTGAACCAGGCTTAATTAAGAAAACTTCATTAGTTGATTTGATTGGCACGATTAATAATACTGATCATCAATATTCATTCAACGCCAAATGTATCGATTCTCAAATATTTATTAATCTAGGTTCGCTAAATTTTTCATCTACATCTAATGAAATACGTACCATATATATAATATTTAACAAACAACCAGTCATTTGTCGGTTTATATTCAATCAAAGTGAACTTGTAAGAAATAAAACATGTATGAAGAACGCCACTTTGACAGTGGCAAAGTTTTGTTATTATGATCCTCTGCTCGACACATTATCACATGCAGTTGATTGGAATCTGTTAGAAATTTTTTTTGCGAATCCTTCTTATGCACCATCGGATTGGCAAACAAAAAATGGATACTATTATAATGATAAACTACTAACGACCATTACCACTATATCGGTAAGTTATTTTTTTCATATTTTACATATCAAAAGACTCACGATGGCGTTTGAAGAAAAAAATATTTTGTCTGAAAATCATTGCTTTTGGAAAGAGGTTTTAGTAAATCAATAAATGAAACGTTAATGCGATGTCGTCTATTCCTCGTCAAATATCACTCATTAAAATCTAAAAATTGTGAGTAATCAAAATTACACTTGATCAGTTTTGACTCTTGACTTCAAGAAAATTAGAATTTATGTAGTTTTTATTTAAATTGACTCGACAGATTTTCTTTGAATTTATCTATAAATAATAAATCAGGAACATCTTTCTTTTATTTACAAAAAGACTACTACAATTTCTTCTTTGAAACCAACATCTCTACCTGCTAGCATCGAGGATATAACTTCATTCAGCATTGACGAAACAACGACATTCTCAACGGTTAGTACTACAGTACTAACGACTACTGTTACGGAAACCGATAGGATCGAGGATACAACTTCATTCAGTAGTAGTGATATAACAACATTGTCCACGATTAGTACTGCACCATCGATTACTACTTTTATCGAGTTCGACACTACATTGTTATCAACCACTAGTAATAATCCAACACTAGCCACGTCTATTATCAGCGACATTTTTACATCATCAATTGAAAGTAGTACACCAAGTATAACTACGTCTATAGAGAGTAATGAAATTATATCTTCAATTATTACAACTACAGATGCTGATCATATTTTGAATACTACTTTCGAAACAATATCTACAACACTTTTGGATACAAGTACAACATCACCAAAAAGCTCTAAAAGTTCTAAAGGTTCAAAAACATCGAAAATTAGTGCATCGACAACATCTATGATACCTTTAAATAGGCTTCCTTCAACTGAAAAATCATCATCTCGTAATAAATATATTATACTTCTAATCTTTATAATTGGCATTATTGCATTGATGTCATTTCTTGTTTATTTCTATCAACACTATGGAAATAACCATAGTCAATCATTGTTAAGTCATAATGATAGTGATGAATCTTATGATTCAATGATGACGCAATCTGAACTGGATCCATCAAATGAATATGATAAAGAAACGACATCGACACATGCTACATCAGAATTATCAATACCCGTACCACAACAACAACAACAATCAAACACATCTAGAAAACAGAACAGTGGACGCATTTTTAGTACGTTCGATCCAGATGCTCCTTAAAATATGACAAGTTATGACTCTTAAGTTATTACGATATTTTTTATTTTTATTTGAATTTTATACATTTCATTCATTATATAGCATATATAAAAGGAAGAAAAAGCATTCGCTTATCACATTAGATATCTCTTCTTGCTTAATTTATTATAAAATAAGTTAGTTCCACAATGCAACGCTTCGTTTCTGAAAAGACCTTCTTCGGACAAAGTTAAAGTAAGTAAGTCTACAATTAAAAAATAATTAATAGATAAAAGCACGATGATCTTTACTATTGATTCTTATTGCTCAGTTCATGCCTAATGGTGATGTGAAAATAAGATGGAAATAGTAACAATCGGATGATTTTCATATTGTGTTTCACTACCAAACATGAACTCAAAGGAAGAATGAATAGTCAATATCATTATTTTTTCATCTATTGATTATTTTAAATAATAGATACACTTATTTCAATTTTGTCTGATGAAGTTTTCTTGAATAACAACACGTTACATTGTAACATTGAAATTAGTTTATAGTAAAGTTATTAGGAAAAGACGTTAAATATTTAAATCGAAGAGTGTGTATGGAGAATAATGACAGAATAATATGATGCTTTGTTGATCAACCATTGTCTACATTTTAACCAAATATTTCTTAATAATAAACGCTTGAATAATTTCAAGTAACCAGTATAGTCCAGCGAGAAACAGAATGGTATTGACGACAATGTTTATTTTATTGACAATAATTGAGGAAAGTATCAATCTCACTTGTAATGTTATCACGTTTTATGTTATGTTTAAAAAAGTCTATTGAATAACCTTAATATACAATAGATGTGATATTTTTGCTTGTAACATGGTCATAATCGAGTTCAATTAACATTGATTTGCAATGAGATTGGTTTCAAAAATCCAAATTGGCGCAGCGGACAATCATTTACTGGAAATGAGTCATACTTTCATTCATTTCTTTTTATTGAAGTGATTGACGGTCGCCACTGTTTTTTTTTTATTTCTATTCATGCAATAAATAATAGTACATAGATGTTTTTTTTTCGATATCATGCATAACTTTGAGATAAAAACCGTGCTTTGCTTGATTGGATGACAACAAAGGTTTGTTGACGACGGATCGATTCAATCTTCCATGAATAGACACCTTAATGTATGTATACACAACTTCATCAATAAGTTGTCGTATTTTACAGAAGAGACAAAGACCACTTGGACACCTGAATCATTAAATTTAAAAAATGATTCATTAGAGTATTTTCTTTTTATTTTGAAACATTATATGTTTATCAACCCTTATTAAAAAAAAATTGAAAGGATTATCAAGTAATTAAAAATAAATACATGAGATTAATTGATGATATGGTAGAAGATTCATGATGTGAAAATTTAATATTCCACACTTTAATTACTACAGTATCATAAATGTATATTTTGTTGTGATCTTTCTGCTCAAATTTACTAATCTATTGTTTTCACTTTTGGATGAATAGATTTATTTGATAGGATAAACAACAATATCTGTTGCAATGGGCATAACGGCAGAAGAACAATATTAATTAATGAAAAAAAAACAAAAGGTCGTCATAGAAACTTCAATCATTCGATTTTTAAAAGACATCATTTTCAAAAAGTCTAAAACTTTCTTTTCTGTACTGTTTTAGCTTCGCTTTTGTTGTGTTAGTCATAGAGTGTGAATTTCATCTTTATTACAGTCATGTCATGATCTTCAGTTCATTCATCGGCTGTTCTGCTTTCGTTTATTGAACTTAAAAAAAACATGAACTTGCTCTCTACCACGATCAATAGAGTCTCATATTGACTAATGTCTTAATCTTCTCGATTTTATTAATTAATACTATACATCGTATTTTAACACGCATGTGTTAGCTTCGAGATACGTCACCTAATTTGTATGTGAGTTTTCTTAAGTTTTATCACAAATCACAATCCTGAAACTTGAATGGTTTTACTTTCCTATGATATTTTGTCGTGCGGCAGCTTTTATTTGGTATGCCGTATTTGTGTTGATCCACTCATACGTAAATATGTTTGACTACATTGTATTCATGTGCAATTCTTTATGCTATTGAACGAACAGCTCGAATCCATGCAAATCAAGTAAATAATTATTTCTTTTTCTAAAAACTTTCAAGCATAATCGTTTTATCTTCATAGGACGTTCAAATAGATCGCTAATAAAAAATAGGATTTCATTATGATATGAATTAGTTTTCAATTTGAATTAATGTTTCTTAACAATATAGTTCATATGCACGAGATGAAATGCTTTTTTATTATAAAAAAAGGAAATTTTTTTCGCGCATACAGATATTAATGGTTCTTCTATTCTAAGTTTAAAAATGATTTCTAAATATCTTTATGTTCTGTTTCTTTGTGTTATCTATATTTTCTCTTTTCATAAAACTTCCTCAATAAAACTGAAATTTTTATTTGCAACAGCCAGCAATGTATTAAGATGTTCTACACATGAATATCTCATTTTCAATGATTGGCGCAGCATTTCTCGACGAAATATATCATGTCCAAATCAAACTATGTTATTTGAAACTAATTCTACTAATTTAATCGAAGAAACTACTTTCCATACTGTCTGTATTCAGAAAAATATGACATTGAGTCTTTTTTTTAAGTCGAATTATACAACGATGAAAAATAATAAAACAAAAAATCTATGTAAATCAGGCGAATCGGAACCACATTCATCACCTGATTTGATTGGCACGATTAATAATACTTATCATCAATATCCATTCAAGGCCGAATGTGTCGATTCTAAAATATTTATTAATCTAGGTTCGCAAAGTTTTTCATCAATAACTGATGAAACTCGAACCTTATATATGAAATTTGACACTCAACCAGTTATTTGTCGGTTTCAATTCAATCAAAGTGGACTTGTAAAAAATAAAACATGTTTACACCATCTCTTTTCAATCGTGACAAGATTGTGCTATTATGATCCTCAGTTTGCATCTTCACTGACAAAAGTTGATTGGAACCTATTAGACAATTTTTTTGTGAATGCTTCTCATGCTCCATCAGATTGGCAAGTAAAAAATGGATACTATTATAATGATAAATTACTAACAACCACTACCATTATATCGGTAAGGTTTTGTTCATATTTTACATATCAAAAGACTTATGAATGTAGTTTAAGAGACAGCTAAACAATATTAGACTTGAGTAATGTTGACTTTTGACTTTTGACTTTAAGAAGGTTAGAAACGATAAAGGTTTTTATTTAAATCGACTTGACATAAATCTCTTGATTCTATCTATAAATAATAAATTACATACATCTTTCTTTTATGTATAAAAGACTACTACAATCTCTTCGTGGAATCCAACATCTCTACCTGATCGCACCGAGAATATAACTTCATTCAGCACTGGCAAAACAACAGCATTCTCAATGGCTACGGCAACAATACCAACAACTACTATTACAGAAACCGATATCACTGAAGAGACAACTTCATTCAGTAGCAATGATATAACAACATTGTCCACGATTAGCACTGCACCACCAACTACTACTTTTACAGAGTTCGACACTACAGTTTTATTAACCAGTATTAATAGTTCAACACTAGCCACGTCTATTATCAACAAGATTCTTACATCATCAATAGAAAGTAGTAGATCAGTTATACTCACATCTATAGATCGTCACGAAATTTTATCTTCAACTATTACAACTACAAATGCTGATCATATATTAGGTAATATCTTCGAAACAACATCCACAACACTTTTGAGTATCAGTAAAACATCTTATATAAATGTTAATAATAACACAGCATCGCAAAACAGCTCTACAACATCTATGATACCTTTGAATAGGCTTCCTCCAACTAAAGTATCATCGTCTCATATTAAATATCTTATACTTCTACTTTCTATAATTGGTATTATTGTATTGATATCATGCCTTGTTTATCTTTGTCGACACTATCGAAATAGCAGCATTAATTCATTATTAGATAGTAAACACAGCGATGAAGCGTTTAATTCAGTGACGACACAATCTGAACTGGATCCGTCAAATGAATCTGTTGAAGAAACGATATCGACACATTCAATACCAGAACTATCAATGCCCGTGCAGCAACAAGAACAATCGAAGACATCTAGAAAACAGACTAGTGGACTCTTTTTTAGCAAACTAGATTCAGATATTCTTTAAAATACGACAAGATATAATACTTAAATTAAGTTTATTACAAAATAATTAAGTTTTATAATGCAACGTCGAAGTTAAAGTAAGTGCATTTACAATTTTAAATGATAAATATATATACATGCACTAATCTTTGCTATTGATTGTTCGAGTTTACCAAACGATTAATAGTCAGATGGAAATCAGACAGCAATAATTGCAACTTGATGATTTTCATATTGTGTATCACTGTGAAGTATTCACTGAATAGAAAGACTCGATAGGCAATGTCATTGGTTTTTCATCCATTGATTATTTTAAATAATAGATACACTTATTTTTATTTTGTTCGATGAAATTTTCTTCAACGACGCAAATATGATAAACATATCAAATACTTTTCTTACAAGAAAAAATATAACGAATTACGAAGATTCCTATATCGGAAGAATTGCTGAATGATACAATCATTACTGTTGTCAATTATTAGCTAATGAATCATCAATTGTCGAAGACACTTACAATCGTAAAGTACAACTCCTCTCTCGAACAGCTATCGTTAAATTGTCTTTTTCTTCTCGAATCATAGCTATGTAACATTAATAATGTAATTGTTTCTAACTATACAAACAATTCTTATTTTAAGAAATCAACTATGTTACGAATTATATCTGATTAATTCCAATCACATACGTTTTACAAAAAAAATCTTGTTTTTAAATACATGATTTATTTATCTACTTTGTAAACTTAATATAGCTTAAGAAAATGTCAAATATATTGCATGCATACATGAAAAGTTTGAAAATTAACATTAATTATTTCTTTGTATGAGATGTAATGGAAGTCACATCATTTGATAACTATGAAAATAAATATTGAAAAGAGAAAGCAGAAGTAAGAGAAAAGAAATCAATTATTTCCTTACTCGACGTAATGAAGTTGATGATAATTGATGATATGTTGATACTGATGATCGTGACATACTAACTCGTGATCCATCGGGATTCATACGATATGATCTTCTTGCTACTCTTGTTCGTTTTCCATTTGTAATCGATGGAATTAATTGTTCAGGATCAGTTTGATCATTTGTTAATTGAGATAATTGAGAAATATCTACTGATTTATTACTAATATCATTTTTATGAGAATAATCTTCGATAATAATAGTAGGAAGAGGAGGAGGAGGAGAAAGATGAGAAGGAAGTGCTAAATAATAAATATTTAAGTATCATTTTTTAAGTAATAAATGAATAGTTGAATACCTTCATTAGATATTGTTTTTGTCATTATATGAATGTTATCATGTTCACTTGATTCATCTTGAGCAAATAAACAACTCATGACAGTATCACTAAGACCTTCAGTTGTATTTTCTTGTCGTTGTGATAATCCATGACATGATGGAGAAGATTTATTTGATATTTGATGTGTTGATTGAATAATAAGTGATTCATCTTCAATAATAGTTGCTAATGCTGACGGTACCGGTCTATTACTTGATATATAAATAATAATAAAAAACATAAGAAGAAAATATGAAGAAACACCTCCTCACTCTTTTCGAAGTTTATCAGAAATAGCTCACCGAAAAATTAGGAAATTTTCGAGGTACATAGATCTCGATAAGTAAAGCAAACGTTGTCATACACTCAAAATTCCTAGATGCTTTCTTCAGGAAAATAAAGGATCCCAAAGGTAAAAAATGAACATAAGTTTCTCTCCGAAAAATTCTATACTTTATTTTGTCGAACTACAATTTTTTTTTATGAACGTGTCTTTTTCAATGGTACTAAATTTTCAAAGGCTATCGAATTTTTTAGGAATAACATTTTGAAGAAAACAAACATGCATCCCAATTTGATCAAAGTACTCATAATAAAATTTGAGCTCGATTGGATGTCTCGTGTGGGAGAAAACTTCGTTTATAAAGTCATCGAAAACTGGCCGTGTTCAGCGATATTAGAGATCCATGACTCATGTCCTCAGCAACTCTGAAATAAGAAATAATCATTATCATTAGAAGAATCTTGCATACAAAGAATATTCGTAGCAGGAATTTTTCTACTAGGGATTTTGAGAGCTGGGTTTCATAAAAGTACCAACTAACAACAAAGAGTCCTCATTTAAATGGCATTTGACAAAGGGTACTTCAAAGTTATATCAGCGATGAAGAACCAAAAAGCGCGAAAATTTTGATTGTAACATTCGGAAAGCGAGAGATCTTGCAAAAATTGGATTACTTTGTAATAATAACGGATGTCGATGTTGAAGTCGAAGAAGAAGATTGACAAATTGTTGATGATTGACATTCATTTGTCGTTGTATCAGATGTATTTTTATCAGCAATAGGTTTACCTTGACAAAATCGACCTTTTTTTAATTGAATTTTAGGTAAACGAGATGCCATTAAATCTGTTGGTGTACGTCGAGCTGTTGTTGGTGTAAATTCATTTTGCTCTTGTGACGATGAATCAATTGGATGAAGAGTTGTTTCAATAGCAGCATATGTTTCATCACTAATTGGTGTCCATAGATCATTTGTTTGAGTTTTTTGCGTATTAGGAATTACTAAATTATCTTGTTGAGTATCCGGTTGAGAATCACAAATAATAATTGGTTGATCAGATGATTGTAGTATTTGACAAGTATCAAGAATATTCGGACTTTCGAAACTATTGATTGTTGTTGATGTTGATGTTGACGTAATAACAGTATATGTTGTATCTTGTGAAATTTTTCCTGAATTTGGTGGAAGTACTGATTCAACTATAATAGATGAAGAGCTTGGCTGTTCAAGTTCAACACGTGAAGATCTATGCAAAAAAAATGTGATATTTGAATTTTTGTTATAAGAGAATGTTTCATTGTAAAAGAAAAAAAATTTACTTTGTTGATGATTTTATTTTTTTTATAATTGAATGTTCAGCATCAGATGACTCTGATGTTATTGTTGATTTTTTTGAGAATTTTCGAATCTAAAAAAATTTAAATAAAAATCTATTTGAAAGAATATATAATGTTTAACTTACTGATCGATTAGATTGGACAGATTTTTTATGTATTGGTGGTGTTGATGTTGGTGTTTTGACATGAAAAAATTCTTGTGGGTTTATATAACGTTGAATAAGTTCATCTGTTACTGGCACAATCATAACTTGCTTTGCTGGCCATTGATTCGTATTAATTGTTTGTTTTTGATGATTATCATGAGAATTTTTATTATTAATAAGTAATGATAGATGTTTTGAACAACAATTATATGATGTTAATGTTGTAAGAATAGAACAAATTAAACAAGTAACACATTTTGATGTTGGTTTATGATCATTATCTGATGTTAAACTTTCATCATAAGTACGAGATGATTTTTTCTTTGATTTATTACTTTTTGATCGTCGTCTAGATGGTTTTTTCTCATTATCTGAATCAGATAGAACAATATATGTTTTATTACTAGTGGTAGGTTTTTTTGATTTCACATATGGTTCAAGATCACTATCATCATCATCATCCCACAAGTTTCGTTGTCCACTACGTAATACTCCTAATCGTCGATTGGCTTGTGATGTTGTTGATGATGGCGAAGATGGCCATTTTCGTTTTTCTTTAAAAGCATTTATTTGATAGAGAACAAATTCTAATTATTAAGATTACATACTTATTGGTTTCTTGCTCGTGCTCATTTTTTTATGACTACTGGAACAGAGACTGAATGAAGATACAAAAAAAACTGTAGCTAACACAATATAACGATTAGATTCAAATTTGAATGGGTGAAATTTAACTGTACTATTATTAGCAATGATTCTCCTTGAATCTAGAGGTCGCTAATGTCTTTGATTGTCAGTAAACTTTTCAAACTTACGGTTAGTATAATACTTTCAACAGATAAAATACACATTCATTAATCTGAAATTATGTGAAAGTGATATTAAGCTTGACATGGTATTCCAAGATTAGTGACTTCATTTTTCCTTTACATGCATATAAGTATCAGCAGCAAACCAGCGATGCAAGAAGCAGCAATAGTTTCCTCTAAAAACAACTACGAGAAACAATAACTGGTCATTGCCGCTCCTGTTTTACTCCGGTTTTTTTAAACCTAACTTGATATAATAAAATCTATATTTAATAGTGCATATTATATCGATAATTTAGCAGACTATATATATATGTTAAATGGACTCTTGTATACAGAAATAGTTTTTTCCTCATAAAACTACACATTGCAAAATTCTTCATGACATAAGATTGATAAGATTGTGAGTAGATTTATAACTTTTTAACAACTTTTCGCAAATTTGTAATCTTTTAGACACTATTCTACTACTTAGCAAAATTTAAACTCGAAAAAAAATATATTAAAAAACTGATTTATTAAGCTTATAAAACTCAAAAAATGATTTAGATCAAGTTGCTGTGTGTCACTCATTTGAATAGTCTTGGTTTGAGAAATAAAATAACATAAAT